TAATCAACCTCTTTCCTGGAATTCTGGGACTCCATCTTTATCTGCATAATGACCTTAGTCTTCAGGCCTAAAAGAAAAATAATGGCCGACAGCATGCATTTCTTTAATCTACTCTTGTGTGCGTTTCCCCCCCCCCCCCATGTTGTGAGAACTCAGTTAGCTCTGCAAGTATTTGCTTATTTGTTTGGCTGGAGCTAGAGTAGGCACATGGTGGCAAAAGATTCCCTCTAATCCTCCAGTTGATTGTACATGTTATCATTCTAATTATTTAGATACTGCTTTTTTTGGGACATCAGCATAGGTTCCAGTTTTATGATCATTCAGTAAATTTGGATTCGCCTTTTTGGCAAGGCACATAGTTTCTTGATCTGGAACACAGCTATCTTAAGGTGCTGGTCCATTTTGGTCTCAATTCTGTTTTGGTTGCTGTAAATTATGCAAATTGTAATCTGCATACTGTTTGACTCTTTATATTGCCTCTGACATCCTTTAAAGCCTTACATTTTGTGGAAATATAGTCTGAATTGTCAGGGATAACAGGTAATAGCTAACTATTTGTTATATTTAGACAGAAACTGCTGGTCTTCTGTTCCTTGCTAGAAAAATCATCATTATTGCTCCTCCATGCATATTCCACTTAAATTTATCCAGTTTCACACTTTTTTTAATGTGGGTTTGTTAATTATATCTTCATTTCTCATACTAATTTCTGTTGCTTTTAATTTGGCTGCATTCAATGCAACTAGTAAGTGTATACTAATATGTCACAGAAGTCTAAGAAAGGAATTGTATTAGGAAGGAAAAAATAAACTATAAATTTAAATAGCCACTCTCTTAGTTGTAACTAAGTTGATTTCCCATCTCTGTGTGTCTGTTTCATTTATTTCTCTCTACAGGGTACAGGCCAGATTCTCAGGAGGGTGAGAAGATTCACCAGAGACAGAGCAGGGAACAGAACAGACAGACTGATGAAATACACTGCTGAGGGGAGCAGTGGGCGAGGCAGGAGAGGTCTGCCGCGCCATGCGGGATGCTCGCCGGCCGGGATCAAACCAGCGCTGCAGAGGCTGTGGACAGCTTCACAGCGCAGTGCTCAACTGCCTGTGCCACCAGGGGAGGCCCTGATTTGTCTTTTTATGGAAGTATCAATTTGTTTTACTTTAGTCTAGTCTGAGAAAACACATGTAGAAATTTTGTGGTGATTTAGTTTCTTTATATCCTTCTTTTCCCTGCTGTCCCAGATTTCTCTTGGTTGATTTTTGAATATTATTCATGTTTAAGTGGATCATACACACACACACACACACACACACACACACAGAGAGAGAGAGAGAGAGAGAGAATAATAGAAAACAAATGTAGTGACTGAACTGATACAATCCAAAGCTTTAACTTAGAATTTATTATCTCAAGCATCCTCTTACCAAATCTGCTATTTTCTGTGTCCTGGAAGCCCATATCCTTTTCCCTTTTCCCGTGTGTGTGTGTGTGTGTGTGTATGTGTGTGTGTGTGTATGTGTGTGTGTACATATGAATAAGTTGGTGATTTGTTAGCCAATTCATTGAAATCTGGGTATTTCTGAATTGAATCTGGGTATTTCTCTTTGCTTTTATCTTACTGCTGTTCTTCACATTGAACTGAACTCATACTAAACTGCTGTCTGTTGTTGCTCTTAGTTATTATTTATTGTCACCTTGATCAATGATTTAATAGGCCCTGGAAGCCTGTGACAAAAACTTTTCTCTAATTTTTATTTTTTAATTATACTGAGGCATAATTTACATACAATAAAATGCACATATTTTATGAGAGAAGGAGTCAGATGGGAGCAAAAATCTTCAATAATCAAGAAGGTGACAAGGAACTGCATAGATTAAAATAGCAGAGAAGGAGTTGGTGGCTAAAAGATTGCTAGAAGATATTAATATTAAAGGAGCTGAAGTTTTGAATGAGAAGAGTGGAGAAGTGATTTAGAAGCAGGGGGAATAACTAAGCCACTTCCAGGCATTCACGCTTATGGGAGATTAGACAAGAAAGAGATAGCCTTCTCTTTCAAGGGGCCTTTCTTCCAGGAAAAAATGAGGTCCTTGGAGGTAGACTGCATTTTAGTTAAAACAGGATGAAGAACAATGGTACTGGTTCCACTATGGAATAGTCTTATTTCCATGTACACTTAAATTTTTTTAGCTTTTTAAATTTTTTCATTTATGCATACAATAAATGGGGTATAGGCAGAGGTGTAGGGGGTGAGAGGATTCATCAGAGACAGAGTGGGGAGCACAACAGGCAGATCTACTGAAATAAACTACTGAGGGGAGCAGTAGGCAAGATAGGAGAGGTCTGCTGCACCATGTGGGTAGCTCCCTGGCTGGGGATTGAACTCATGCTGCAGTGGCTGTAGATAGCTTGATATGGCTGAGACTTTAACCCCTGCACCACCAGGGAGGCTCGGATTTTTTAGCTTTTTAATTTTCATCAAGGTAAACCTTGTATATATTTTAAGAAGTCAAAAAGAACCAGAAGTTTTATTTTATAGTAGAAATAGTCATCTACTTTCCCACTCCCTTTTGTTCTAAGAGTCCTATTTCCAAGAGGCAAAAATTTCTTTAACTATTTACCTTCAGATTTGGAATAACATGCCTCTACTGCTATTTAAAATTATGTATCACTCAATTTTTGTATAAACTTCCTCTCACACATACTTCTTTCCCCTACTCTCTTGCTATATAGTTCTATCTAAATTTGGGGTTAAATATGCAGTGCTAATATTATTATGGCTATATAAGTATTATTTGGCTGCTTATATAGTACCCTTAAATTTCTTTTACTTTCTCATACAGTTATCTAGTAAATTTTTGCATTATTTAAAAATGTAAATTTAATCTACCTATTTGCAATTTACCCATAAACTCTCCAACATAGCTGTAAATCTTCAATACATTAAAATCCATAGATAGTATGTCTTATTCTTTATCCAGTATCTTTGTCTTTTCCTGATACTAAATTAAATAATATAGTTGGGTGTAGAATACCTAAAATTTATGATTTCTTTCTCTCCTTCACTGACACATACCAAAATTTCTATACCATAATATTATAGTTTTGTTATATTTACTGTTAAATTTAATTTTACAATTTCAGCTTTTACCTAGAGAAAAAAAACATTAACCACTCTCAGTTTGTATTTTCTTGAACTTCATAGTTACAGAATTGGAGTATAATTTTAATTATTCATTTCTACTTTGATGGATCCATTCATTTTTTATGATTTTTGAAATCACTTAGGACAGCTACCTCATTTGTCCCCAAATGGGATTTTATTTATGTTATACCACTCGGTATAACCTTCAAATGAATAGTATGCCTTGGTGTACTTTTTACCTTGCAAAAGTGACTGGATTTCTAGGGAACATCTACATACTTTGTTTTTAATTTTTCTTTTAATAAATGAACTCCTTTGGACAAACTTTACCTGGAAGAGGAAGTTAGGGAATATTTGGTAACTTAACTTTGTGTTGGTATAATTTGTCAATACATTTAAACTGAATATATTTAGATTTTCTATTCCTAGGAACTAAAGATTCTTCTCTACATGTCTCTGCACAGTAGCATTACATATATATATATATATATATATATATATATATATATATATATATATATATATAAGACTGATAATATCAGTGTACACAGAGTATCCTCTGTGATTTATTTTGTGCTTTTTAAGACTACTTTAAGTTTTATAGGACATGTAGGTTAAGATCCCAGTTCTGTTATGCCTGAAAATTATACAATTGTTGGGGAACTTTAATAGAAGAAATATAGAATTTAAAATACAAGGTTTGATGCATATATAGAATAAGACCCCCAAAATTTATTAATTTACTATTACCTATGCTTCAAATATTTAATAGTCCAGAAAATAACTGATTATATATTAACTGCTTTACAAAATTCTATAGTATTGTTCCCTGTATATTTAATTCAATGGTCTTTGATTATCTCATTATATGACAAATAATTTTGTAACTTTTTTATAGACACAAGAAAAAGATAATTTAGATCTTATATGCTATGGCTGATTAAATTTTTTTATTAATAGGATTACATATATGTAATTTTACATCAAATTACACTTAATATTTGTAGTAGTATTCTTGTGTACTACAAACACAGAAATTCTAACATATTCTATTCTGAGAGATTTCTGCTAAATGTTATGTTGTATTGGTAAATACAAATGCTGCATTATTGATATTATACCTAAAGGAACAGAACTTCCATTTTGATTGGTGTGAATGAGGATTAAATTCTCTGCCGACAGTTTTGCATGCCTGATAAGTAGAGGATTTTTCCACATACTAGTTTCATGCTCCATTTCAAATCTTAGTTTTTCCTCTAGTAATTGCACATTCCTGTACTGGGAACCACAAAGGCATGTTCACATCACATTGTGATCTCTGAATAGACACATTCATTTTAATGATGGCTGGTGAGTCAACACCTTAACTCTGCATGGGAAAAGCTGTGTAACATAAATATATTAGATCCCAGGAAATATACCCCCAACTTACCTTTCTCTTAGGTCTAAAATGCCCATGGCCATTACATGGCTACCCAGTGCTAGGAGGTTTGTGATGGAGAGGAAGTCAGAGTGGCAAGAGACAACTGTCTAACCTATTTGGTATCTCTCTTGAAAATTTTAGAAAAATCAGTGATAATAAGAATACATTGTAAGGAACTTCCAAGGACTTAGATTCTCCAGGGGCTGAAACATAATTTTGAATGCCAAGTTATTAATTTATAGTAAACTAAAACTATACACAAACTAGAAAAAAACTTACATTAGTGTGACAAAGTTTCTCTTCCTATAAACTAAGTTGAGTGACAAGGCTGACTATAAATAAAGGATTGCTTTGTGAACATGGAATGAGAATGGAGTATGTCTTATTTGCTTCAAGGTGCTATAGTAGAATACCATAAATTGAGTGACTTATAAACAACATTTATTTCTCACAGTTCTGAAGATTGAACAATCTAACATCATGGTATTGGCAGATCCAGAGTCCAGTGAAGACATACTTCCTGATAGACAATTGTCTTCTTACTGTAACTTGTCTGTTCCTTTGTTTTGTTTCTTTATATTCCAATTATGATTAAATCACCCATTTTTTGTCCTCCTGATTTATTTTTCTCAGCACAATCTCCTCCAGTTCCATCCCTGTTGTTACAAATGGCAAGATTTTTGTCTCTTTTAAATATAACAGAGTAGTGTTGCATTGTGTATCTATACAACATCTTTATCCACTCATCTGTCCTTGGGCACTTAGGTTATTCCATTACTTGTCCATTGTAAATAGTGCTGCATTGAACATAGGAATGCCTATACTCCTTCAGATTAGCATGTTTGCATTCTTTGGGTAGTTACCTACCAGTGGAGTGGACTTACCTCTATTTTTAGTATCTTGAGAAATCTCCATACTATTTTCCATAGGTCCTGGGTCATATTCCTATCAGCAATGTGTGAAGATATTTATTTTTTTTTCATCATTTCCTTGCCAAACACTCATTTCTGACAATTCTTATAGGTATGCGGTGATATCTTACTGTGGTTTTGATTTGCATTTTGTAGTGGAATAATTTGATGGTGTTTTGATATTTTCCATTAACTTCTTATTGAAACTGTGAGGGCCAATCTTCTTCCCTTCCAAGCTGTCTTCTCTCCCCTCCCCTCCCTTCCCCCTCCCTCCCCTCCCCTCCCCTCCCTTCCCCTCTCCTCTCCTCTCCTCTCCTTCCTTCCTTGTAAAATCATTATTTTGCTTCTGAATTCTTATATATTTGTACGATTAAATGATACTGTACCTTTATTTTAATTCTCAATCATTTCCCAAAGGCCCTTAGAGACTCCATCTATGTACATGTCTTCATGCCTGCAATGAAGATTTGTAAGTACTCAATTCAAATGCTGCTTATTTTTTTAAGCTTGTAAATTTAGAAAACTAACAATACTTATATTAATATGACTATGTAGTTATATTTCACTGAGAAGGGTCTCGTTTTCATTTCTGGTTCAGTGTTTTGCTTTCCAATTGCCTTCTTATTGCATCACTATTTACCATCATTATATAATCTCCTCTTTCCCCTGCCCCATTTCATGCGGTATGGTTGCATTCAGCAAGAGAAGATAAAAATGTAAAAGAAAAATACTCTGTTTTATGAATCACAGATACCCTAAAAGATCAATATATTATAATCTGAATTCATCATCTTTAATCAGCCTAGGTCCTTCTATGTTCCCAGCTAAGGTCACCCAATTCCAAGGTCAAAAAACCAGGCAGCATCCCAGTTCTGTCCTCTTAATCATCATATCCTGTGTGTTGTGAAGTCTTATCTGCTGTGACTCATGAAGAGCAATTGGATTAAAACAGTTTTCTCTGTCCTCAAGACTGCTTGCTATCTTGGTTTGAGCTGAACTGAGTTCTGAATCCTCTCACTGAGTAATTCCTACAACAGCCCTCAAGAGCTGTCCTTACTTCCAGTCTTACTCATCTTCAAGTAACTTTCTATTCCACTCAGAGAAATACTTCTTGTACTTAGATTTGATTAAATACATTTCTACTTCAAAATCCATTGCTTTTTCATTGCTCATATGATAATACCCAATGTGGTATCTAAAACCGTTCATTATTTAGATTCTGCTTATCTCGCTAACCTCGCATCATAAGACTTCTCCCAAATCCCAGTCACATGGAACTATGCCTGGTATCTAATGTGCCGCTGCCTTATTTGTCTTTAGGGTTTTGTACATTTAGTCCCTCTCAGTGGAACATCTTTCAATTGCCCTCTCACCTGGCAAACTGGTATGTCAGGTCTCCGTGGAGATGGTAACCTGTCCCTGAATATTTCCTCCTGGAGTCATTAAAAGCCAATCTCATGTTTCCAAATGTAACTGCTTCTAAGATACATGTATTATATCTTTATCTGTTTTGCCCATAGACTTCATGGGGATTGTATCTTAGTCACTGCGCCTCTCTAATGTCTAGGAACATGCCAGCATCCCTGTTAGTTAAATGAAAGAACAGAAGCATCTAAGTCCTTTGTCATGGATTCCTTGATTCTCTCACAGCATTATCAATGGATCAGATGACTGTTTCATTGGATAATATGACTTTGCTTTAAAAGGAATAGGGCAGGGAAGGTGGGGAGCTCTACCTATCATACTCAACCCAAATAGCTTCACTTGTATTAATATATATTGAGCTTTTGAGTAAAATTTCACTTGAAAAAATGGAGTGTGTTTCTGCCAAATATTTTGAAAATAGCTCGCGAGGAATAGGGGTAAGACTTCGAGAATAAATGCTGTGCAAAGATGCCTCCGGGGAGAATTTCCTTTCGGTTCTGGGTTCCTCTTAAATGGTCTGAGTAGCCTATCCATTCCTGAGACTGCTGCACTGATCAATGCTTTAGTTATTAAACTATAGATCACCAGAATCAAGAGTCTTCAAGGACATTTCACACTGGAACCACTGCTCACCCTCTGTGGTAATTGCCCAGTGAGTAATTCTGAAACTTCCTTCCACCTGTGCTGAGAAAGATCAGGTGCTTTGTCTTGAAGAGCATCCTGAAAGACATCTTTTTTTTTTTCCCTGAAAAATTACTCAAGTAGGCAAAATGTGCACCATATTCTGTTTATCTCTATAATTTAATAGTATATGAAATATGCATAGAAAAACTAAGTAGATGTTATTTTTACTTCCTTCCAGCGGTGCTCTCATTTTTCTTGTGGAGAACACTGTTTAGCCTGCAGCCCTTCCCCATCTTTGGTGACAATAGCCCTCTCTCCTTTGGGAAATGCTCTTTTCCTGCTTCATGGGATCTGGGAAAGAGAGTGTGAACAGGGCATTGGAGAACCTGATTGAATGTGATTCACATGACCCAATTGGCTAACTAAAAATTTCCTGTGGGATTTATAGTTTCTGTAGCAGAGAAAGACGTTCTCTTTCCTGCGAACTTTGCCAAGTGAGATAAAATGAGCTGGAGTAACTGCACACTGATCTTACTTACCTCAGACCTGCTCTTGTCAGGTTTCTTCACTCAGGATAATATTCTTGGTGTGGGAAGGACTCTATCTCCCTGGCAGGCCGCCTCTAGCCTGACTCCATCCAGGAAACAGTTTCGGTAAAGTAGAGGAATTCTGTTTCTGGGATTTTCAAAAATTGCCTCTTCCCATTTTAAAACACTGCCATCCCTTCTGGCTTCAGGAAAAAGTCTGGAAAGTAAAAGTAAAGTTTTATAACAGATTGCTATTCTCACTGCTTCTCTGCTTCTGTGATTGAGAAAAAAACAAACACACATTAATAGTTGTTACATTTGAACTCTTTCCTGTTTGTAATGTCCTGATTTCTTGTATACAAATGAATTCTATAGGCAAAATGTCAACTATAAAATATACATTTTCTCTGTAGCCTGCTTGCTTGTATTGATTTTGTGGTTCTATCCTACAAACATCCACATAAAGAGAATTAAAGCAATAATCAGTTCTAACTTTTCAAGTTTTGTCACCTTTATATTTCACATCTCATGAACACATGAAACATAGTTACCTTTAAACTCAAATTCATGCTCTTTTATGTGCAAGTTACATTCAACCTTTCAGATCAATGCGCACTGAGTAGACTCCATTTTGCTTCCTGAAAAGCAGAGTGGAAAGGAAAAATGAAAATTAAAGACCCAGGTGAGCTGGGTCTTTGGTCCTTACTGCTCAACTTGTTTGTGGCTTACTTTTAATTCATCCTACAAAAACCACTGTGGTGGAAAATAAGCATTATTTTGGCAGAGTACACGTTTAATAAAAAAATGAAACAAAGCTTCAGGGATTTATTCATCCTAAAGACTGCTTTCCCTTTGTTTAGGACATCCATTTAATCACACAAAGAGATCCCAAAAGCAGGAGGTAAAATGGCTTTTAAATCGCATGTCAGGAGCATCCCTGGTGGCACAAGGGGTTAAGACGCTACCTATGAAGGGACCCACAGCCACTGCAACATAAGTTCAATTCCCGGCCAGGGAGTTAACCCACAAGGCAGAGCAGATCTCTCCTGTCTTGACTCCTGCTCCCCTCAGCAGTGTGTTTCAGTAGATCTGTCTGTTATATTCACCACTGTCTCTGGTGAATCCTCCCCACCTCTGGCCTGAACTGTATCCCAGTTCTTGTATGCATAAATAAATAAATCTTTAAAAAAAAATCACATCAGGTCAAAACACTCAGATTTAAATGTGGTATTGCAGATGCATTGAAATGACATATAATTTCAAAATAAAAGGTTGTAACACATCTTTCCCACATTCCTCAGAAAAGATTCATGGTTTGAATTAGGTGTGTATAGTTACAGATCAGCGAATAATTTAGCTCAATAAGTGAAAGAAGTAACAGGTGTTCCAAATGTATTTTATGAACAGATCACAGTAATTATTTTTATGTTAATTTTTAATGAGGTAATATTGCATTAAAACATATGTTTCAGGTGTGCATAACTGAAAATCAACATATATATATAACAAACAAAAAATGATATTTACAACAAACCCAGCTGTAATATTAAAAAATGTTTAAAAATTGTTTTCCAATGATTTTCCTATGCATATCTATATTAAAATGTACGTAGGTTAGAGAAAAGAGATGTATTCAGCAGCACCAACATTAACTACAGGTAAAATCTCCCCACAATAAGAGTCAGGGATTCTCACTAATTACATAATTAGAGGAGGAAGCAATAAACTTTCCTTTGCAGCTCAAATTCTAGAATAAGGTGGTGCTATTGAAAATCTCACTGTGGTGTATATCCTGAAACTCTTAACATGTAGTGCGGTGTAAAGGTCCTGCAAAGTCATTAAGTAGTTCAAGTTTAAATGGTACGGCTGCAAAATAACAACACCCCCCCACTCCCAGGTTATGCGCAGTTTGCATTAACAAATAAAAACTGCAAGATACCATTATTGAATATTCTTACCATCACTGTAGATTGCTCATTGGAAAACTAGTGCAGGCCTATAATTATCATTATGTTCACATATATTGTATTCAAAATGTATAATTATCTCTAGCTCCCCAGATAAATACACTTTGCAGTATTTTAGTTACATAATGAAAACTTCTAGAGTGTACAGAATGCAGTAAAATGCGAATACCATGAGTATTTTTAGCTTTCCATAAGATTTTGAGTTGGAGGAAAAAAAGCAACAATGTTAAAGTTTTATATTATTATAAAGACAGGTATATGGTCTAAATGCATTTTAGTTGGGCAAATTAGATTAATGTTTACTCCTAAAGAGGCAAAGTGTGAAAGAGAAGTTAATGCAGTCCATTAACTATATTAACAAATAAATTCTATGTATGAAATAAATATCTGCCACCTTCATGGAGCCTTTCATATATATATATATATATATATATATATATATATATATATATATATATATGAGATTTTTATCTGCAGTATTACTTGAAGGTTTTTAAACTTAGGTTCTTTTGGGGGAGGAAATGTAACATTTCTTTCAATGTGATCAAAAGCAATCCTGCATTTTGAAAATCTAGGTCAGGTTTTACCTTGATTTTTATTGAGATTAGGAAAGACAGGGAGGCCACATTGTGCAACTCTTGCTTTTAAGAAACAACAGTTTCAGGAGAAAAAAATTTGCTTCAGTTTTCATTTTGACCCCCTACTCCAGTTTTACAAACAATGGTGCTAGAGGTCTCCATTTCCCTGCGTCCTGTGCAAATCCTTTCTTTCCTCTCTTCCATCAACTTTACTCCCCAAATCAAAACACTTGATTTATCAATACCTCGGCTTTAGTAATGAATTAGTGAGGAAACATAATGAGTAATTATGAAAGTTTGTTTTGTCTTCAGTGTATAATAATATGTGAATTTTCAAATTGATTTCTAATGGAGAAATGGAGTGGGGCGTGCAGGGATTCGAGGTTAAGTGAGCAAAGGTGAAGGAGTCTGTTTATTTGTTCTTTACTTGTGAATATAAAAAATAAGAGGCGGTTTAATTGTCTTCTCCTCAGAAGGGCTGCTGTACTTTTTTCTTGGAGAATTATGATGATTATTAATTACTTGATTATTATTGCTGTTTATTTTCCACCTCCATTGTAATAGTGCTTTGCATATTTTACTCATAAATGAATTCAAGCTTCCAGGAAAAATAAAAATAAGAGAACAAGCTTCTAATCCTCTACTAGGATTATGATTATTTTACTATTTTGACCAAAATAATAAAATACAGGGATAAGAGCTTCATCAGCTCTAAAAGTAAGGAAGGTATCAACTCTCTCCTATAAGTTTGAGGCATCCTGCCCCACCTCTTCCCACCCCCACTATATAGTATAGATGAAAGAAAAGTGATGTGGACAATAAGCCTTGTCATACAGTTCCCTTTCTTGGGAGAGCTGAGTAACACCATGCAAAACTCTGAAAGAAATTTTAGATAACTCATTTGGAAGAATAAGAGTTTGACAATGGCAACATATATGAGACATAAAATAGCCCTTCCCAAGTATCTTTCACTGCAGCTTAGCTCTAGAGGAGGACAGGGAAGAGATAGTCTGCAGCCTTCTTTTCTGAATTTACATGGATCTGTATTCTTGAATGTTCTCCGGGTGGGTTCCAATAAAGAGGGGGGACTCTGCCCTTTAGAGGGGTGAGGTCTGTGTTGTGGTGGAAGCAGGGGCTGACCTTTTTAGCAGCTACAGACCCATGGCAGTAAGGGCATCTGGGATAGGGATGTAGCTCTCTAGGGTAGTCTGCTGAACTGCTAAGCAACGGTTAGTAGTTCAGGCTTAGACCTTCTGAAGAGGCCCACATATAGTTAATAAATTAGGTGACAATGTGCAAACCTGGTGCATTCAGGCTATAGAATACTACACAGTAAGGAGAAAGAACAAGGTTCTGCATTCAAAGTCTGAAAGAATCTGGATGAAACATACTGAGAGAATGACAGGCATAAGAGCCTGCACTGTAGATATCAGAATAGGAGGTAGCTTTGGGAGGTATAATGACTGGGAGTGGCAGGAAGGAGTCTTTGAAGGTGATGATTATAGCTCATATTTTGATTTGGGGAATTATATAGGGATTTTTCACTTTGTTGAACTACTTGACCTGCACATTTCTTTTTTTGTGCTTTATTTTGCATATATTACATGTTTTACTTCTAAAACATTTTAAGTCCTATTTGATAGCAATGAAAATAACTCCCTCTTGGTAAGTCAAGGGAAGAGCGGCTGCTATATAGCTGCAGAAGGACTTGCATTGGAATTGGAAGCAGTTGTCCTAGTCTCAGTTGCCTTTTTCTGCTCTCATCAGTGCAACTTGTGCATGTTTTGGGCTATCCTCAGCTTTCATCAGTTTTGTGGCATCTTTTTACTTTCTATCTCATTCTCAACACTCCAATTCTCCATTGCTCTGAATTGCCAACACACCGTGGGATGTCTGCCCTAGGAAAGGTACCTGCTTGGGAAGGAACATGAAAATTCAAACTCTAGAGAATGAAACTGGGAAGGATTCCCTTTGTAAGGGCAAGAGCAGGGCCAGCAATAACACTTAATGTCCAACTGATTGCATCATTTTTGTCTTCTCTCCACGAGTATAATTTCAAAGATGCTTCTTTCTAACATACCACTATATCCATAACTGAAAATGCTGTAGCAGCTCTCTCTGGCGTGTGGGATTCTATCTAATCTTTTACTTTTATTTCCATGACCTTTTTATACCGAAGTTGTTACAATTAAATTTTAATCATTTTATAATTAAAAAAGGCAATTTCTATTAAAAATAAAAGATAACAGGGGCCTTCCTGGTGGTGCAGGGGTTAAAGACACAGCACTATCAGAGTACTGCCAGCCACTGTGTCACAATTTCAATCCCTGGCCAGGTAGCTGATCCACATGGGGCAGCAGGCCTCTCCTTGTCTCGCCCACTGCTCCCCTCAGCAGTGTATTTCAGTAGCTCTGCATGTTCTGCTCCCCACGCTGTCTCTGAATCCTCTCACACCCCCCCCCCAACATCTCTGGTCTATACCCCAGTTTTTGTATGCATAAATAAATAAATGTTTAAAAAATAGAGAAAATAAAATGTAACAGATTTAAAACTTGCCAAAGGGATGAATCTGGCTTTTTTACGAGATTTTGAAAAGTACATAAACAATTGGAATTTTGAAAGAGAGGCAGTGTTTGGTATTATTGATATGCTTTCATTGGAAAACCTTCTTT